GATAAGAACATTACGTAGGATTTTTAGCGCGCTATCCGATGGAAAAAGCATATCTTACGAGACACTCATCACGTTTTTTGAATGAAGTTGAAATAATGCCTTATGATAGATCTGTAGTGTCGGTTTACGATGACTAGAACAACTCCAGACATCATCACCCATCAACGTTATGTTATTGTGGAAGCCTAATATTCATCACATTGAAATAAATATACGTGCGGTTATTTTCGACAAAGGTGTCAAACGCAACAGTGAGCGACCAAGTTTTGGAGTCAATAGGCAGAGGGATGTTCACCACTTTCACGGATGCGAATAAAGTGGACACAAAAACACGAGAATAACAAGCTGGCAATTTGGTTTTGAGTATCAGAGATACTTACGCATGTAGTCGCTGACTTAAAGGTCTAGTGATAAGTGTTGAGCCAGGAGAAGACGGTCGCTAGAGACTGAGATTTGTTTACTAGAAGCAGCAGATGATTGAGCAATAGGGAATAGAAAGACTTTCCAGAGTGACTGTGTCTAGAGCGAACTGTACCATTGTCATCTCTGAATGTCTTCACATTAAAAATCCAATCAGTAAAATAAGGTGTAGTAGGCGTCGTGGCTGCGGTTGACCACGATCACCACTACAGGAAAACGACGTGCCAGTTACTAGGTTGAACCGCCCCGAAGGCCAAAATCCAGAAGGTAGTTGAAGGTTGTATTAAGATGTACTTGTTGGCGATCTCGTGGTATCGAAATAATACAGATATCGTGCCAAAATCCATAAGCAAGACTACTGATCGTACGAGAGTTTGTGCAAGGTGACAAACAAAAGAAAAGGGTATTTTTCGGTACATTTAAACAATCATGTACTGCAAAATAATTACTGGTGCATTTGTTTATAATAATAATTGTTTCCATTTTGCCAATCGCGTTCTCTTCATAAAATCAAAACACTTCAGATGACCCCCGCTAGAAAGAGTTTACACTTTCGATTTGCAGCGGTTTCGTCCGTGGGACCTATCAGCGGACGTGCGATTGTAGGACGAAAGTGTTGATGAACACGAAGCTATCGTTGATCCCCGAGTTGTCACCAAAAATCTTTTATGTGGGACGGTACCATAAGTAACATGCTATGTTTGTTGCTTGAGTTAGCGTGCCACACCAGAGTGATTTATATCCACAATCTGACAACTGCGTTCGTAGGGGTCCGGACGAAAATACGCTGCAGATGCAGGCCGAACCCCATTAGGCCAAGAAACCAGAAGAGGCCATACCATGACGAGAAATCACGTTAAAAGGTCCTTCGTAAGGCAATTGCAAGGGTTTGCGTACCGAATCTACTCGTATGAAAGCACGTGAACAGGTAGATAACTCTCGAGGGAAAGCGACCTTTCGATTCTATATTCGAGTCGACACCGGAGGCAGTGTTCGCAGACGTCCAGACAATCGTTGGATGTAATCTGATTTACCGAAATTGTTACTATTCCATGGTGTGAAAAATTCCTCAGGCAGACGCAACGTCATGCCACATACACGTTCAGCGGCGGAACATTGAATATCTGCCTGTAAGCTCGTTCTGATACCTAAGAGAACGAACGGTAAGGTTTCGTACCAATTGCTGTTTTCGTGTGCTCGAAGTGCACTTTTAAGTTGACGATTTAGTCGTTCAGCTAAACCATTTGATGCTAGGTGGTAGTCGGTAGTGCTTATGCGTTCCCTACGATGCGGGTGGGTCAGCGAGGAGAATAATTCGAACTCGAATTGTTGTCCTCGGTCAGTCGTGACAGTCAAGGGGCGACCGTACAGCGCTATTCATCGTTCTACGAAGCGGTGAGTAACTGTCTCCGCCGTACAAGACGTGATGGGAATAGCTTCGGACCATCTTGTGAAACAATGGATGCACGTGAGTATGTGATCATACCCGTGCGATGGTGGCAATGGTCCCACAATGTATATATGAACGTGATTGACGCGAACATCGGGCGAAGCGAGCGTCCCAATGGAGGCAGCTACATCCCTGTTCACTTATGATTGTTGACATTGTTAGCATTGCTTTACCCACGTACTGACATCTTTATTTGTGGACGGCCAGACGTATCGTGCAGCGACGAGGCGTAATGTGGCTGCAATACCTGGATGAGATAGTCCATGCAGGGCGATAAAGACGAGACGACGATAAGCAGAGGGTACGATGGGTCGGAGAAGATCAGTAGAAGTATCACACAAGATAGTACCTGAGCTAGTAGCTAGGGGTACTTCCTGGCCCTGAAGGTATGTAGAATGTTGTGCTTCTGTACATGAGGGATCGCTTCCTTTGGTGGCGGCCATATCAGGGAGAGCAAGCACCAGTAAAGTAAGTGCATTCACTTAGGTACGTGACAGAGCATCGGCAATGTAGTTTGAATCGCCTTTAACGTGACGAAGGTCTGTCGCGAACTGTCTGCACTCTCTGGGTGAGCAGCGATCAGATATGGTATGCACAGCATACGTTAAAGTTTATGGTCGGTGGATAGGATGAGATCAGCGATGGGGTGAAAAGCATATGGAAAGTAAATCATTCCAGACATGTCTGCATTTTGGAATATAACTGAATGGACAAAATTTTAGACTGATTCAGCGAACTAGTGTCTCCTGTCATGGTTTATCTAAACACAGTGGCAATAATTCAAGAAACTATTGATGATAACAACCGAATCCAGAGAACTGAGGAACCGATGTAGATGATACGCAGGAGCCCATGAACTAGGGAAACACAGTAAGTGCCTCGCTCACTCATTAAAACGAAACCAACGACCAGACAAAAGAAATCTGAACCAAAGCACATCCAGGAATTTGGGGAGTAGTTCAATGTTCACGACGGTTTCCTCAACATGTGATCCTAGAATACTACTCGAATCACACTTACTTGGACTGCATAATGCTGTTGGAGGGGATAAGTCGCAATCCGAAACTTCCTAGGATGGAAACATGTTATGAGCTGGCGTACTGTAAGCTGCCGTGTCCATATGAAGCTGAATCTCCCGACTGGAACATACCGTACTCCATTGTCATACGAAGAAAAGTCTGGTGCCTATTGACAATAATAAGTCGTAGTAACAAGGTCGAAATGATATGTCCCAACTTTCTAAGGGCATCTAACCGAGTCAATCATGTTTGCCCCATCGCGAACTAAAGGACGTAGGTGTATGGCGTAACAAGTTGGACTGTAGTGGTGTAACGGTACTACAGATATTCAGAGTTTGACACCTATGTAATGGCAGTATACCTCCCCAGACAAACCAGAAGTCAGAAATGGAGGAGTTTGAGGATATATTTGGGAGGTTATTGATGTATCGAGGAATAATTGATCTATGATAGCTAATTGTTGTATGGGACTCGTAGAATGGCGAACCCACTCGTTAGCTGGTGAGGATGCATGACCGAGCGCCCTCAGCTAGAGTGTGTCCAATAGAACCAAAGGGGTCAGAATTGATTTTGACGACTTACAAAACTTTAGTTTTAGGATTTGTTTACTATGTGTTTCTCATTAGCTACAACGTTACAGACACTCGTTGTCCGACCACGCACTGATCCAGAATTCATTGTTATTTACAAGTGACTTGCAGAACTTTAGTTTGGAATTTATTTACCACTACAGCTCTTTCCCTTCTTATTGGGTAGTGATAACCTCAAGTTTTGACCAGCTGGAAGTTCACTTTCAACAAGTATGTCGCCCGTAAACACTCTGTTAGCTTGCTATGTCTAAGCGAATCTTTTCGCTTTTACCTTGTGTTAAAATTCATGTGTTGCAATATAACAATGAAAAAAGTTTAAAGGAATTGTTTGATTCGTTGTATTCTTCGTTAGCTTTTATCTCATACAACAAATTTCTACCCTTAGTAATCGATTTAGTGTTCCAGGAACCTTATCCATCCTACAGAGCGTACTAATTTGAGCCGGTTGTCAGACATCAGCAACGTTTTGTCGTGACTAATGATAATCGGGTGGGTTGTCGTAATTGTGAAGCTCGTGTTGTTTGAATGAATGGGAGGCGAACGAACATTATCAGCGTTTCCTTCTAAATGCGTGGCTTTGAGATTGTCAATTCTGACGCTATTGTTATTTCCATTTTTATAGATGATAAAGTATTTAGGTTCACGATAAATGACTTCGTATGTCCTTTCTAAGGGTCATCAAAACGAATCACGACCTACAAAAATGTGTAAACTGACTCTCAGGACAGGCTTTGCGAAGACATCAGTTGACTGTGGTTGAGTCAAAACAGGTTCAACTGAACGCGTGGCGTTTGCAAGCCTGTTCTTGTAGGAGCTTAGATTCACATTCATCGCGAAGAAAAAGGGTGCATGAATTCTGCTGGATTCGGAGTATCGTTTCGAAGACGAGCTGTGCTGCAGTGTATCCGGCGTATTCCTTGAGAAATCCTAGTGACACGAATGGATGAACATCAATTCGTTGTAGAACGCTTGCAGATCTCTATCTATATTGTGTGACCCAGAAATATGTTGTACATCTGGAGTAAACTGAGAAATGCAGTCTAGTTGTGGAAACTCTCGAGAGGAGTTCTTGTCCAGAGACGAGCTTAAAGAGGAGGTAGGAGGTTTGTGGTAGGTGAGCAAAATGAATTCCTGGCCTACCAAATAATTTTGAAATTTCAATTCAGCACAATACGTGGCTACGAGTTCTCTTCTGAAAGTGCTATGCCTCGACTCAATATCCTGCCACACACTGATCTAGAATTTATTTTCAATTTCAAACAAAAGCCTCTGTCCAATTTTTTAAAGAGTCAATAAAAAACCCACTATTTTCCGGTCGTTAAACAGAATTTTTGTTAGACAGAAATGTTGTTATCACCACACGACTGAGAGCTCATCTATCTGTGTATTCAAAAATGAAATATAGAAGTTTCGGCACTACAATAAACATTGCGAATACCAGTCATTTTACTTCCCAGCTTATCCAAATTCAAATAAATCTGGTTGAATTATCTCGGCGGCCGATTCGGTTTGTGTTTCGAAATGGTCAGGGCATTGTCTGCGAAGGTGGTTGTTAGGGGGCTGCCTCCCAAATTAAGGGCCGATGATTTCATCAGGATTGTTGACCCGCTACCCTCTCACACTTACTTTAGGTTTTGCGGTGCAGATGACTCATTGGGTGGTCTGGGGTTGACGCGGGTTTACATTACATTCAACGACATGGATTCTCTATTCGACTTCAAAGAAAGGTTTGATGGCTACATTTTCTTGGATTGCGAGGTAATCCAAGTTTTTTAGTTACTCTTTCAGGGAAATGAGTCCTCTGCACTTGTAGAGTTTGCTGTTTGCCAGGCATTGGCGTGTGCTAAAGGGTCTTCAGATGATAATGGGGGAGGGAAAGTGGATAAAAAACAGGGGTCTTTATTGAAAGACTCAGTGTATGTAAAATTCTTAAACTCGCAATCTGCTGAAGTTTGTGCCGAAGTATCAGAATCAGAGTCTAAAAAAACTCCCTGGGAATCCATTTTAGATGATCTCCAAAACAAGGAAGCGAATGCTCTTCAAGTGGGTGCAATAATGTAATTTTATATCTCTATCCTTAATATAAAGTTTGTAACGTTGATGACTCGTACGTATATATTTGTTGAATAGGAATAAAATGCTCATTACCGTATGTCACAGCCAAAGGATGGTACCTAACATTCTGCACATACGACTCTCGAATATAAAGTTGTTGGTGAAGCTTTCCCCCTAGGGTTGACGTAGTCATTAATATGGCATTTCTAGCTTTACGTAATAAGTAACCGAAAACAGTCCCTTTAGAACAGCACATTCTTAGTATCTACGAAGAGACGGCCCCCAAATGCCGTGGTACGACTGAGAGTAGAAAGAGTTAGCTCTCACTCTCGAAACCCTCTCACATGGCCACGTGCATACAACCACTACCAGGGAAGTCCTACGCACTGCCTTATTGCGGTGGGGGTGCTCACGAAATTAAGAGGACGAAAAGCGAATGTCCGGCGCTTTAATGGGGTTGGTGGACACAGAAAGTCCACCAATGGGAGTTAGAAAACCCTGATTCTATGCCAATGGTGCACATGAGCTCCAGGATCCTGCGGGAACAAATGGAGTATGAATCAATCGTTGGTCACCAGCTACCATGCTACTGCATCTTCTCACGATTTATTTATTTATTTAAACACATAAATATTGGTACAAGGAAGCACCAGATAAACACGCGCCTCACAAATCTCATTCGATTTGTGTGAGGGCTGTGATACTGCCCAGGCGCCCAGACTGAAGCAGGTGGTTTTCTTAGAGGGCCTTTGACCTAAAGGTCTAGTCCACAAGGCAGTGGAGCATCGTAAGGAGATGCAGTCCTATGGTAGCCGGTCACCAACAGTTGGTTCATGCGCCATTCGTTCCTTCAAGATCCTGGAGCCCATGTGCACCACTGGTTTAGAATCAGGGTTTGCCAACTCCCCTAGGTGGATCCTCCGCATCCACCAACCCGGTTAAAGCGCCGGACATTCGCTTTTCGTCCTCTCACTTTTGTGAACAACACCCTCGCCACGAGAAGGCAGTGAGTAGGACTTCCCTGGCAGAGGCTATATATTCGCGTGGCCATATGAGAGCATTTGGAGAGGGAGAGCACACTCTCCCCACTCTCGGCCATACCAGGGCATTTGGGGGCTCGGGGTGTAGCCTGCTTCAGTTCGGGTACCTGGGCAGTATCACAGCCCTCACACAAATCAAATGAGATTTATATATATCTGGTGCCCCTTTGTACTAATATTTATGTTTAAATAAATAAATATGTATATGTATTAAACCTCCGGATGATTGTTTTTTAGACACAAACCGTCACACCACTTTTAACCTACCTAAATAACCGTGGTGGAGATATTAGACGTAAAGATGAAGAATCATCACGTCACAGGCAGTTTAGACAAGGTAATGCATCTGCCATCAAGAAAACACTGAAAGTGGACAAATCTGTACGAAGTCATCCACCAGTTAGGCGACCTCATGATATAAAGCGTATCTCTTGTGATCGTATTTGTGAAGTTTCAAACAAAGAAAACCCTCACCATAACAGCACGGAAGATTTGACTGGGGTTGATCCAAAAATGCAAAAAAATAAAAATTCCGAAAAGTTGATCACATTGGATGCAAATGAATTTCCTGCCATGCAAAGTTCCTGTGAGTTCAAGTATAACTTTTTTTCAAATTTTATTCAAAATTTCATCTGATTACAACATCAAAGTTGTCGCAATGTTTATTAGTAAACATTCATTCCGAGTGACATTACGTAACAAGTACGTGCCAGATTCTGTCAGTCATCGTCAGCTTATAGCTTGGCACATTTATGAATAGACCCAACTTGATATGCCACATTATCACGACAAAATTAATATAACAAGGCTAATCACAAGAGATCGTAATAATGTATTGCTGATGATAAAAAAACTAAACCATGGGGATATGATTTGAAAAGACAGTGGAAAAGTGTATATAAGTGAGTAATATGATTGAGAGGAAGATGAAGATAATGGTTCTGCACTATGTTGAACGATGTTGAGCCACGCCACCTACATTCTATAGCTACTGGCTGTGGTTATCGCGTGGACCTCAACCATAATATTTGCATTGACTAACATGGCTCTAATGAATAGTCAGTGGTCCCCAAATGCTCTGGTACAACCGAAGGTGAGGAGAGTCCACTCTCCGTCTCGAAATGCTCTCACATGGCCACGCGTATACAGCCACTGACAGAGAAGTCTTATTCACTGCCTTCCCGAGGCGGTGGTGTTGTTTGTGAAATTGAGAGAACGAAAGGCGAATGTTCGACGCTTTAAACGGGGGGTTCTTTACTCGAACACTACTAATCGAGTCAGAGCCTATGGAGTACTGTCATCTTTATACCTTTCTTTCTACGAACTAATTCTTTCTCTATGTATGATATCCTTATAAGAAATCTTTCTTTTATATATTACCACCATAGAAGTAACTGTTTCTATTAATTTGGTGTTCATCTTGTGCTAAAGAGATGTGGCACATTGAGCCGATGCATATATGTGTTTGGTCCTATGTTGTAGCTAACATATGGTTCGGTGAATTCATTTTATACTGCTTGGTTGTTATTAGTAGGTTACAATCTGCTAAGTTTAAATATTCATCTACATTGGGGTTTTGAATCACTTCGTTATATTGAGGCGAAGCCTATTGGCGTATGAAATGATTATGGGATCAAAGGCTCCTAAAAAAATAAATAAAATCAATATGTTACAATGTTATTTTGTATGCTATCTAAATAAGGTATTTAGTTTCATGTTGTTTCTGAGGTACCTCTCCAAAATGTTCATATCCTTTTGCTATCAGAAAATACTTTATCTTGGATCAACGTTTTCCGCTTATATGTAATACATTACTACTGTTGTGAGCAAGAACACGAGTGGGGACGATCGAATATATTTGAGCACAAAATTACAGAATATCTCATTAAAATCTGACAACCATACAGTAAACAGTTAATTTGCAAACTATCAATCAATTGTCTCAATCTTGACCGTTCCTTCTGCAAATATCAGTCCATCTCTGATTTTATTGTTCATGCATTTTCATACCAACTGCGTTCCGTTCCATTTTTTTTCTTTATCAATCTTCTACTGAATTACATTCAATGCCTGACCATCGTTATATGCTACTTATGCGGTTATAAGTAACCCACACACTAGTTGAGCGTGTTGACAGCTTCACTTATCTTGGGAGTCTCATCAGCCCTTGCGGTCTGGTGTATGACGAAATCTCAACACGGATACAGAATGCTCGTCTTGCTTTTGCAAACTTGCGCCATTTATGGCGTAGGCGAGATATCCACCTAACAACCAAAGGACGGGTTTACTGTGCAGCAGTTCGTTCGTCCTACTTTATGGCAATGAAACATGGCCGATGAGAGTAGAGGATATTCGTAGGCTACTAGTATTCGATCATAGGTGTTTTCGAAGCATTGCTCGTATATCCTGGAACCACCGAGTAAGTAATGCAGTTGTTAGGAAACGGGTACTAGGTAAGGATGGCAAATCGATTGATGAAGTAGTGAAACTTCATCAGTTGAGATGGTTGGGACACGTGTCACGTATGCCCAACCACCGACTGCCCAGACGTGCAATGCTTTATGGTGTAGGAGCAGGTTGGAAGAAAGCTAGGGAAGGTCAGACCAAAACGTGGCACAAATCCATGAAGTCGCTGACAAGTGGACTGAGTCATGCTGGTAGGTGTAAACTACCTGGTTGGGATTCGCGAGATGACAGCAACCGATGGTTAGAGACCTTGAATGACATGGCTCAAAATCGTTTGCAATGGCGAAGGTGCATACAATCTTTGTGTTCTGCCAAATTATAATCTTCTGAATTCGTCATGTCCGTATCCTTTTTCTCTTTCCAAATTTATTTCACTGGATTATACTCCTTCAATAACATCTTCAAACCCTTATCTTTCACATAATACTTATACTCTTACTACTTCTACCAATATGGGATTTGAATCGACAAATTCATCTCTGTGCTAATGTGGTATGGCAACTCGAACTGATGTACTTACGTACGGAGTTCTACGTTGTAACTGACTGACACATCACACTACCTTTATCCATTAAATCCCCAAATGTATTAAAAACTAGGTAATATGATTTCTGACTTGCCACTTAATATACGAACATACCAGTAATGCTAGCAATAGAGCAGCTCGATAGTTGCTTTTAAGTTCAATGTATCTGGTCATATGTTAGCCAGAATAATTAGCAATAATTTTAAAAATACGTAACCCCTGGCATAAATATTATTTATGTCTTGTTGATCACACGATTGGTGTACATTAGTCGCATGAAGGTCCTCTAGTTTATGCCATTAGATCTGTGTCACTCCTCTTGTTTACCGCATGCTGTATTGTACTGTTATTGTACTGATGCGAAATTTTGTACGTACGTTTTTTCGAAGTCTGAGACCACGTATCTTTGGATATATGGTTTTAACTGTGAATACAAGCATTACCACCCCACGAAGGCGTCAGACGTTTATAAACGTTAAAAGAGATATACTTTTGACTATACACTCAAGAAACCAAAATAATTTTTGAATTATAATTTAGGTCAGCGTCCAAACAGGTCTACGAATCAGTGTTCCAGTTGGCCATCATTTCGGGCACCAAACATTTCAGACGCAACATCAGAAAAACCTGGTGCATCAGCGTCCAGAAGTTCAGCCATTGAAGCGGACTCAAAACCATTTTCGAGGATTTCCGACTCTAGTTCAGAAAATAGAGTTAGAATAAACCTTTCAGAAATAGAAGGACACAAATCATCAGAATGTGCGACAAAACCAACATCAAAAGAATTACTTCCAAAATGTCAAAACGAACAAATTTTGAGCAGCCAAAGTGAGCCAACACATAACGGCCAGAATTCAACTCCGGGCAACGCTTTTCGAACTAAAAAGGGAAATTACTTCTCAGCCCGTCCATCCGCTTTTGTCAATCAGACGCGGAAACATCCAATTGTACAATCTGAAGGAAGACGGGATTCAGATGCAAATATGCAGAATTATACTTCAGCCAGTCATCAGGTTGATGACCAAGAAAATGTATTTAGTCATGAACGATACAACAACTTTTCTAAGTCTGGGATTCGTGGTCGCGATAACCGACGTGGTACAGTCTCCAGTCATGAGGTATTTCATAATTCCTCTCGCGATTCCTATAAGTAAGTATTTTCATATCCACTTGTTTCATATTCTCTACTACATATGTCATGTATTTTCTTCAGCGTCGATTCCTTACGCATTCTGGTTTCCTTTCCTGATAGCATGTTGCATTTGGGGTTATGATAATTTTTTTACAATTACATTCTAATTACTCTTTCCTAAAGCAATTAAGTTGTTAAATCAACAAAGATATGTATATTTTCATATGTACATGGTATTTTCCAACTCTTAATATGGTGTAGGTAAAAGTGAATAATAGGTTAATCATATGTTTTCAAGGTTATATAAATACTGATAATTCCAGTTCATAAAAAAGTCAAGAAATCTTTTTTTTAATGACCGTGAAAGGGTTATTTTGACTAATAGTGTCCCAAAAACCTCATGATCCATAACTGGGGATTGACCAACCAGCGTAAATCGATTTATAACCACCACATAAATTTCAGTGATTTTAGGGTTTAATTTGCTTATTGGTTTCATCTTAAATGTTCCTTAAAACTGTTGAACCAGTCTAGCCATAGATTCATTCACAGCGAGTGAAACGTGGTATTTAGAATTTTGTGTTTCTTGCATACATACAATGTTGCGTAATGTGTTTAATAAGAATAAAAGGTTTTGCAACTTCTACACTTACGTTTGTTACCTCTCGTGAAGTAGCATAGGCCGCCCACCCGGGTTCTCCATCCAACCCTGTTCTGGATAATCCATTCCAGTTCTTTCCAGTTTCTATTCATCCTTTTCATATCTGCTTCCGATTCCCGACGTAATGTGTTCTTCGGCGTTCCACCTTTCCATTCCTCTTCAGGATTCAAAGTTAGGGCTCGCCTTATGATGCAGTTTGGTGATTTCCACAATGTATGTCCTACCAACATCCAGCGTCTTTTCCTTATCTCCGCTTCAACTGAAAGCTGGTTTGCCCTCTCTCACCGTAGGTTGTTGCTGTGGTATCCGACCAACGAACATTGAGTATCTTGCGTAGACAATTATTTATAAATACTTGTACATTTTTGATGGTTGTAGCAGTTCTCCACGTTTCAGCTCTGTACAGTAGGACTTTCTTGATGTTCATATTGAAGGTTCTGACTTTGACGTTGGCTGACAGTTGTTTCGAGTTCCAAATGTTCTTCAATTGTAGGAATGCTATCCTTGCTTTGCCAATCCTCACCTTTACGTCTGCATCAGATCCTCCTTGTTCATCGATGATGCTTCCCAGGTATGTGAAAAATTCCATATCTTTCAGAGTTTCTCCATCAAGTGTGATTGGATTGGTGTTCTCTGTGTTGTATTTAAGGATCTTGCTTTCTCGTTTGTGTATACTGAGGCCCACTTATGTATAGACTGCTGCTAAACTAGTTGTCTTCATCTGCATTTGTTCATGTGTATTGGATAGAAGGGCCAGGTTATCTACGAAGTTCGAATTTTCTACCTGATTTCGAGCTGTCCAATGTATTCCGTGCTTTTCCTCAGATATCGCGGTCTTCATAATCTAGTCGACCACTAGAATAAAGAGGAAGGGCGAGAGTAAGCAGCCTTTTCTGACACCGGTCTTCGCTTGGAATGCATCGGTCAGCTGTCCTCTATGCACCACTTTGCACTGTAGTCCGTTTTATAAATTCCGGATGATGTCGACGATCTTCTTAGGCACACCATAGTGTCGAAGAAGTTTCCATAAAGTCCTCCCATCCACACTGTAAAACGTCTTCTCATAGCAAATGAAGTTGGTGTATAGTGACGAATCCCACTCAACTGACTGTTCAACAATGATCCGTAGTGTGGCGATTTGATCTGTGCACGACTGATCCTTACGGGATCCATCCCGTTGATTTCGAAATTGGTCGTCTACTGAGTCTTTCATCCGATTCAGCAACACTGTTGAGAACTCTTCCTGGTACTGACAACAAACTGATGCCACTGTAATTCTCACATTTACTCAGATCTCCTTTCTTTGGTATCTTGATGACGTGTCCTTTTTTCCAGTCCGTCGGCACTTGTTCTTCCTCCCAAATCTTCCTGAATAGACCGTGAAGCATATTTTCAGTTACCTTCATGTCCGACTTCAGCTGGTGTATTGTCACGTCCTGTTTCTTTCCAGCTCTTGATTTGTCTGATGGTCATGCTGATTTCTTTCGTCGTTAGTGGAGTGAAATCTATGGAAAGATTTGTTGGTGCTTCTTCGATGTCTAGTGGATTCATTGGAGCAGATCTATATAAGAGTTCCTCGAAATATTCCACACATCTGTTTCTCTGTTCTCGAATCTCGGTGATTGTCTTGTCCTCTTTGTCTTTGGTCAGTGTCTCTGGTCTACCATATTTTCCTGCTAGTTTCTTCATTGTGTCATATATGTCTCATATTTTTTCTCTTGAAACTTTTTCCGTTATTGTTGCTAGCTTTTCCATGTATTTCCGCTTGTCGGTTCTAATGCTCCTCTTCACTTGCTTGTTTGCTTCGGTTTGTGCCTTGACTTTCTCTATTCATGTTCGGCCGTTGTTAATTGCTGTTTTCTTGTTCTTTCTTTCTTGAATCCTGCCCAGGGTTTACATAGAGATCCATTCCTTATGATGATGCTCGTTGCGGCCCAGAACCTCCTGACACGTTAATTTTAATGCTTCACTGATCCTTTTCTATTTGTCCTGCATAATAGTTTCTTCTTCTTTCAGTAGATCCTGAAAGGCTTGGAACCTATTGTTGAGAGTTATCTTGAGTTCGTTGAGTTTGTTAGTATCTCGAAGGAAGGCTCTATTGAACCTTTGTAACGCCGTTTTTCCAGCTTTCCAACGTTTCTTTAGCTTCAATTTCATCTTGGCCATAACCAGGTGGTGATCTGAAGCTATGTCAGCTCCTCTCCTGAGTCTCACATCTCCCATTGTCCTTCTGAATTTCTTATTCATACAAATTTAATCTATCTGGTTACCTGTGGAGTGATCCGGTAAGACCCATGTAGCTTTGTGTATGCATATGTATGGCGATATTGTGCCACCTATAAACAAGTTGTTGAATGCACGATAATGAATACTGAGGCAGTCTTTCTGAAACCACGTACGCCGTTCAAGCCTTGCAAATCTCTCCCCATTTTCGTTTCTCTCCCTCAGTCCATGTCGTCTCATAGTATCTTCATAGCCAGTGTTGTCCATTCCGACCTTGGTGTTTAGGTTCTGGATCCGTAAGATCCCCATCTTATAAGTGCATTACGTGGTTCTTTGGATAGCATCAGAGCAACTCCCTGAGTGCGTGGAGCATTCTCCTCTTGGTAACCGTAGTACAGCAACATCTTACCCGTATCTAGCTTTTGCCGTCCAACTTGAGTCCAATGGGCTTCGCTGATTCCGAACATAGCCAAGTTGTATCTCCTCATTTCAGTTTCTATTTGATTGTGTTATGCTTGTGGCCGAGTGGATGACTAATTGATGTGTGACGCGATAAGACCGTCAAACAGGGAGCAGCGAATTATTGCTTGGAATAGTGACACGAAACCCGTACGAGCAGTCTACAGTGCTAACCCGTCCTGTGATCTGCCTAGCCCAGCCAGTTAAGTCCGAAACATCAATAACAGCCTCAGTGGTATGAATCATTGTATTTCAAACCTACTGAGTTTATATACCAACCAACAACCATATCGACCCATAAAATAGATAATAACATTTGTACAATATTTAGCCGAATGTGACTGTGAATAGTAATCAACAAACTGATGATAACTCAAGAATCGTATGATAATAAGTCAAAGGTCAAAATAAAGTTAATGACAAGAGAAATACGAATATGAATAGTTCAGTTACGTAATAATTGTACAATAGGAAATAGGCATATTACATTGATCCATAAATAGACCTAAAAGTTACCATTCGTAATTCACCGGGGGATATAACAGACTGGTCCTCCCGGTCTTCAACATTGTCCGGAAATTCCATGTACCTATAAAATTTGTTGCTCTAGTTGTTAGAAACAGTATCGGCCTCATGACTTCCGAAGAATCTCAGCTTTCATTCTGAGGTGTCATAATTCTTCCTTCTAATCCCAGGACAGAGTTTAAATGGTTTAATTTGTTTAAACTAGCTGGCATTTTTTTAGCAATCTTGTTTCCTACGGGATGGGTTGTCGACCCCATGCCCAACCCTCCTCCCTTGCCCGGGCTTGGGACCGGTAGTAACTCTAGAAGAGATACAGGTGGAGTTTTTTTTCTTTTGGCGCCGATCTAAATAACACTATGTGTTTCCGGTAAACAATGTTTTCAACTAATTTCGACTACGCAATTCTACTACTAGACAGCATATTGGCAATCCACAGATGAGCTGAAATTGCTCCAAGTTAATGTCACTAGACTATTGTCCGCTATAGTAATAAGGTATAGGAAGTAGTTCAATTACTTGTCAGACGAAAAAATGTAGATTTGAGATGCAAAGGCTTTTATGAAAGTGAATCACATGACGAAAATGACATTAGACTAACCTGAATATAGTACGTATAAACCAAGTATGCGTCGGATGCAATATCTGCGAGGTAACTCATTATAGAAATGAAAAATATCACAACTTGATACCACCTAAATCCATGGACTTTTAGAAACTCAACTAGTCTTATGTCATCCTCGGGCTGAACAATAGTAGATGGTGGAGAAGCACTTGAATGTGGAGTAACGAAGGAACTGAATGGTTCATCAAAAGAATTTTGTTTTGAGATCGAAGCATCCGTAATATCACAAACAGTAAGTGATTCCACTTCACTCTTATTTCCCATGAGATTACTGCTGGAATGTAATGTTGTAAATGATGAGTTTTAATTGATACATTGAATTAGGAAAGTCTGTATTTAAACACGGAAGTGAAATGTCAATGAAATGGAAACATTCCAAAAATCCGTAAAAAAATTTGTACTTCCGATACATATCAGCATCACCTTCCTATTTTACTTTTTTGGTTATATTTCTAATAGTGATTAGTGATGTTATAAGGAAACCACTTGCTTGACCTTGTTATAAACATCTGTAACTTTCTTTTGAGGAAGAATTAACTTAAAATATTTAAGTGTAGAAAACCACTGATTCGTACACATGATACCTTTACAAATGAATTTACGATTGCACGATGCAATCACAAGTTGTAGCTTTGCTCGAGCTACTCCGGTATTACCGAACCGGTAGTAACAGTAGTTGTATGGGGACTAGCGTTTGGTGATGCATTATGGCTCACTGGGATATAGGGATATTGTAGTCACTGGTTTTATTCAGGTTCTCTGCAGCTCACTAAAGCCAACCCATCTACTCCGGGTGACCTCGAACGAAGACTTTTACGTAATGAAATTGGGCAAAGCTTGCGTAAAGAACGAGAAGCCTGGTGGTCGGAGCGTGCTAATAAGATAAAAGTAGCAGCTGCATCTGGTAACTGTTGAAAGCTCTTCCAATTCATCCGAGCCACTGGCAGCAAGAGGTGTGGTGTGAGTGAAACAATCTGGGAGTATGACGGGATACAAATTACCAGCATCTATCGACGCCTTGGATGATGGGGCAGAAGTTTTCGAGGAGTAGTCCAACTGGCCTGCTGCTCCGACAACATCGATCAGACTGTCCTGCCCTTCACGACCTGTGACGACTGATCTACTAAATGAGGCGAAAGTCCACAAGGAACTCTAGCACTTGTAGAACCACAAAGCACCAGGTCCAGATGACTTACTTCCGGCTCTTTTTGAAGATGGTTAGGAAACTGAGTTGTTTACAAAGGTCCCACGATCATAGCTGCTACTTTAACTTGGTGGTCGGGCTTGCCTATCGTGATGACCCAACCAAGCTATATTGGCTGGAACATAAGTTCCTGTAGGTTCTACCATGCCAGGCAGATCGATTGGAGAATGTTGAGACTAAAAGCAACAACTCAAGGTCTGAGGGCGAAGTCGTATTGCTGACTGTAGAGGGCTGTGACAGCAGTAAGGTGTTTCTCTTGGACAACCAGAAGCTGCAGCATGCTACATTCTCACAAGGAAAGAAGGGGGCAAACGATTCGAGTACACGGAACGTTATTCTCGGTCTCCTTAAACCACGCTTCAAACTACATGTAGGAACTTCTAACGTCCGAACATTGTGCCAAATAAGAAAACAGGCTTCCTTAGCTAGGACTTTAGAATCTCGCACCATCGATGTGTGCTGCGTCTCCGAAACACGCATGCAAGATCCGAGTAGCGTCATTCATTTGACCTGACCATGTCATAATAAATAACCAACTCGATTCACGCTTCGTGTATCTGGAAGCCCTGATGCTGCTTCCCATGGCCTGGCTGGAGTAGGTATAGCATTAAGTCCTAGGGTAGAACTAGCTTTTTTTGACTGGATCCCAGTAAACAGTCATCTATGCGCTGTCCGACTAAACGGATCAGTAAGGACTCGGAAAGATAAGGAAACTCGTCGTCGTAGTTTTATAGACCAGATATTCACTCTACATCAGGTCCTAGAACATAGACACATATTCAGACGCCCCACAATCGTAGTATTCCTCGACCTTAAGGCGGCATTTGACTCCGTTGATCGTGAGGTTGAATGGCAGTGTTTGTCACTAGAAGGGTTACCAAAGAAGTACATTAACCTCATAAAGGCTCTCTACTCGAACACAACTGGTCGAGTTAGAGCGAATTGTCATCAGAATTGATTACCTCAAGTGGTGTTCATCAGGGCTGTCCACTCTCCTCATTCTTGTTTAACTTTGTCGTTGACATGCTTTTAGAAATAACACTTTCATCATCTAAATCTCCAGGAGTTGAACTTTTACCGGGAGACTCACTTGTTGACTTAGAATACGCCGACGACATAATTTTATTTGGTGAAGACACTGACAAAATGCAGAGTCTTCTGACCACTATAAGAAACAATGCAGGCATATTCGGGATGCGGTTCTCTCCCTCGAAGTGTAAAAAGTTACTTCAGAATGGGTTGCATCGACACCTGAACTAATGATAGAGAGTGAAGTAGTTGAGTGTGTTGACTGCTTCACGTATCTTGGGAGTCTCATCAGCCCTTGCGGTCTGGTATGTGACGAAATCTCAACACGGATACAGAATGCTCGTCTAGCTTTCGCCAACTTGCGCCATTTATGGCGTAGGCGAGATATCCACCTAACAACCAAAGGACGGGTTTACTGTGCAGCAGTTCGTTCGTCCTACTTTATGGCAATGAAACATGGCCGATGAGAGTAGAGGATATTCGTAGGCTACTAGTATTCGATCATAGGTGTTTTCGAAGCATTGCTCGTATATCCTGGAACCACCGAGTAAGTAATGCAGTTGTTAGGAAACGGGTACTAGGTAAGGATGGCAAATCGATTGATGAAGTAGTGAAACTTCATCAGTTGAGATGGTTGGGACACGTGTCACGTATGCCCAACCACCGACTGCCCAGACGTGCAATGCTTTATGGTGTAGGAGCAGGTTGGAAGAAAGCTAGGGAAGGTCAGACCAAAACGTGGCACAAATCCATGAAGTCGCTGACAAGTGGACTGAGTCATGCTGGTAGGTGTAAACTACCTGGTTGGGATTCGCGAGATGACAGCAACCGATGGTTAGAGACCTTGAATGACATGGCTCAAAATCGTTTGCAATGGCGAAGGTGCATACAATCTTTGTGTTCTGCCAAATTATAATCTTCTGAATTCGTCATGTCCGTATCCTTTTTCTCTTTCCAAATTTATTTCACTGGATTATACTCCTTCAATAACATCTTCAAACCCTTATCTTTCACATAATACTTATACTCTTACTACTTCTACCAATATGGGATTTGAATCGACAAATTCATCTCTGTGCTAATGTGGTATGGCAACTCGAACTGATGTACTTACGTACGAAGTTCTACGTTGTAACTGACTGACTGACTTACAAATGTCTGGCAGCTAGAGAGTGTTCCAGCGTCATGGAATGAGTCGATAGTCGTCCCTATCTTTAAAAAAGTTCCAGGTTGTTCCTGTAACAACTATCGGGGGATAAGTCTACTTCCGATTGCGTCCAAACTATTGGCTTCTATCACTCTTCGTAGGTTGTTTAAAACCCGAGAACGATTGACTCACGAGGAGCAGGCTGGTTTTCGTTCTGGTCGAGGATGTATTGCTCATATATTCACTCTCCGCCAAATGTTAGAACACCATCATATTTATCACAGGCCAACAATCGTAGTGTTTCTTGATATCAGGGCGGCCTTCGATTCGTTGGACAGGACTGTTCTCTAGAATTGTCTATTGAAGAAGAGTGTGCCTGAGAAGTTTGTTAACATCTTAAAGGCCCTGTATACGAACACCTCAGACAGAGTGAGGGCATACAACCACCTTTCTCCCTTGTTCTATCTGAGCAGTGGCGTTAGGCAGGGTTGCCCGATCTCACCATTACTCTTCAACTTTGCCATCGACGACATCCTGGAAACAGCTCTGAAGGATGTAAGTAATGGCGGTGTGGATCTGCTGCCTGGAGAACGACTTCTCGACCTCGAGTATGCGGATGATATTGTCTTACTGTGCGATAATGCCTAAGGCATGCAATCCGCACCTAATCAGTAGGTAATCAGTGTCCGCAGGTACGGCATGTGCTTTGCACCTGTGAAGTGAAAAGTGCTTCTACAAGACTGACAGGATTCTAATCCTGTACTCACCCTGGATGGTGAGCAGATCGAAGTAGTTGAGAAGTTGTATTTTTTAAAAAAATAAATAAATAATAAATAAAATAGTGTTGTGGTTTGAAAGAAAGTTGTAAATGACTGGCATCTGTTTGTCCTTCATGACTCCTCGGTTGTCGTCCTAGAGATGATACAACATATTGTTTAGAGACGTTATCAGACATGGCTCAGAATGGAAGCCAGTGGCGATCCGTCTGTAACTTTCTTTTACATTATTCATAAAAATGAATGTAACTTTCATAACTGAAATAATTCTTTCTTGTTGTAGTTCACCTAAATTAACTGTTTCTGCCGTTATGATTACTATTTCCACTATTATTATTACACTCTAATACATTAATTTCTCTTTGTTGTTCTTTTAGTATACTTACTTCACATTCTCTAATTCTTCACGACCTCATCTTTATTACGTAGCGCATATGTATTTTGTGCTCCCTTGTGCCAACGTATTTGTGATATCTGTCCTGATCCATAACTAGTTAGTTTTATAATATACTTACGAAAATTCATGTAATTAAAGCCAGGTAAAATACAATATTTCACCTACGTAAGATAATTTTACCAGCAAATATGTTTCAAGTCTAATTTGTCTATGAAATTTTTATTCTTGATCTAATAGGGTATCCCAACAAATGTCCAGGGAAAGTGTTATTCGTGGTTATGACTGTAGAGGAGAGGGAGACTCTGTCAGAAGCGACCATTATTCTGACCAACAAAATTCAAATGCTCGGTATTCTGGAGCTTCTCGAAACTCGTATTTGTCAAGCAAAGGTCGAGTAAATTCAGTGAACACTACCAGTTATCGCCGTCCTGGTAATTACGCTTCTCGTGGTCGTGGTTCTGGTTATTAAGTGGTAATTATTTTTGTTTGTACATATAAGGTTTTCTCACTAACTGCGTTTCTTGAAGCACTTTGTGAGAGCTCTCACCAGCTGGTTTAAGATATATAATCATAATAATCACATAGTTACCAATGTTTGTGACACGAAATTTACGACCTCTATTTTAATCTTTCATATAACAACCAACATGTTGAAGGTTACCACCAGCAAAGATCGAAACATTGATGTATTCCAATTATTGATTTACAGAGTATAAAATTTTGAGTTAACTAAAAGTCTTTTGAATAATCTGCCTGCTTCGTTTGTTCTTCTTTATAGTATCTTCACAAATAATTGATTGTATTGAAATCTTTTGCAGCCTGTTTTGGTGATAACACTCATTTATTATACTTATTATTAATAACACTTAACTTTTACTTATGTACCATTTTTACCAAATAAAATTGTCTTCGTATTTTAATCCGTCGCTGGTTGGTTTATTGAAATCACTTAAATATGGATAGGATACATCAATTAAATCCCGTCCATAAATGTTTGATTGAAAGACAAGTGTGTAAGAAAAATTTTGTATTACAAATTATGATGTCAAAAGTTAGTAAACAAGAAATTATTAGCCATGTACTAGTTTCATAATCTGAATCCTAAGTGTTATTGGGTCGTATATATTGCAAATTATCAAGTTGAAACTTTTCTAAGATTATAGCACACGTGCGTTGTAAATATTAATTCTCCAATATATGGAGCACGAGCAAAAACACGTTACTAAATCCGAACGCTAATCACAAATCCCATCCAGAAATATACATAGCTTAACAAATGATGATAACCTGTACTGCGGTTGTGCAAATAAATAAAACGGAAAATTCCAGTTAACTTTTTTGCATATTCAGTATACATGTATGATTCAAGATTAATGATGTAAGTTCAAGGAATCTACAATTTTTAATCGAACGCCTGGGATGCATAGTGACGACATCCTGTGGAATCATTTTACTCTTGATAGTTGCACACAAACATTTATCAACAACAAAAGTTGGAGTCCTGGAAATCAATAAAGAACGAATCTTTCTTGCATGATTTGCCAGCTGAAAAGACCATTGGCTTCCCACATTAACTACACGAGTAACCATTCTTATGATTGTTAGACAATGTTGTCACTGGTTGTAACTCTTCAAAAAAGCGAACATTGGACGAAAGACTTAGATTTACTGCCATTGGCTTACCTAGACCGCTAGATGGCCGATATTTTTTTGAAATTCACCTTCATGCCGATGTTATCGATCATTGTAGGTCAATTGTTATTTTGGAAACATGTTGCACATAAACAGCATTTAATTTGTAACAACTCTTTCGAATTATAAAGTGATTTTTTAATATCCGATAGCTCACTAAATATCACGTGAAAAAAAAACCGCCAATCAGAACGCCGATTTATATGATCTTGTCCCTGTGCTAAACCTCTGGTGCGCGTTAACCAGTACGAGCAACCCGGAGTCCTTATTGGTACTCTGTATAGCGACTTTTCGTCTAGTCCAACTCGTTCGATCTAGAACACAAATATCAGCCTCCGCTGCATAAATCGTATATTTCAGACATACTTGGCTTACAAGCAGACGGGACTTGCATCACACCATAAAATGAGAAATATATATAATCTAGTCACTTAATAATTATCTAATAAGAATATATGTTAGCTATGTCCATAACTAACCAATCAAATCGTTGCTTAAGCTCCCACCACGTCAATCTGATCTGATATGTCTGTAAACTATCTCTGTTGCATGTGACTTACCAATTGAAAGACATTATTATCCTATTATATTAGTGTGAATCATGAATTTTATTCATTTTATTAAGACACGCAATACTGGTCGGTATGTTTGTGCGTTTCACTTAATGACTGTAATTCTTTAATTATTGTACTAATCTAATTGTTTTTATGTTTAGAAACAGATAAAATTTAAAGCCAAGTTGTCCTTGTTCTGACTATAGCTTTCACATAGACTCTGGGATAGCCAGTATCGCGTTTACAGTTTTAATAGTATATCTGTAGGACAAAATAAATCCTACATAGTTTCGACCAGTATCTCATCAAAATTTCACACATTGAGTACTGTTAAATGTCGATGGAGAATCATAAAACGGATCAAATTCCTGAATTGTCTCCCCACTATTCAGAAACTCATAATGATGATCAGTTTGGAGGAAATAGCTGTCGAATGGATCCCTTGTTAGAGTTAGAATTAGCCAAAATACGCTTGGCTCAGACAGAAAGAGAAATTGAGTTAGAACAGTTACGTCAAAAAGGAAGAGAACATTATAATCAAGTTATGACCGGCAAGATGATATATAAGTCTACATTTGCCTCATCTGCAGTTGATATTCCTCCTGGAAAAGACTGGATAACAATGATATTTAGAGCTTTAGACCTACCAAAGAGAGAGATTATAAGGTTTGATGGTAATCCCATGAAGTATTGGAGTTTCATACGAAATTTCGAAGACTGTTTTGACGAAAGAGTTGGATTCCGATCTCGGTTAAACTATTTGATTCAGTATTGTGATGGTGAAGCTAAGGCTACCATTGTTCACTGCGCATTGCTTGAGCAAGAAGAAGGCTATCGAAAGGCGTTTGAGCTTCTCGAGGAAGCATTTGGCCAGAAGCACATCGTGGCCCATGCATTTATTGATAAGATGCTGAGTATACCTGCTATTAAGGGAACTAATCCAGATAGTCTAAGAAGACTGTCTCGTGAGATGCATGTTTGTGAGCTCACACTTACGCAGATGGACTATGTATCCGATCTTAATTCTACAAAGACCATCGAGTGTATGTTCTTAAAACTCCCACTGCATTTACAGAGAGAATGGGTTAAAGTGGCATCTAGGATTCTTAAGACAGGTAGAGAGCCTTTATTCAAGGACCTTTGTGAATTTGTGAAAGAGCAATCAGACATTGCTAATACTAGGTATGGATTACTTGTCAGTGGTGATCTTTCTAACCGCAACCAAAGGCAATCGGTTACCGTTACAAAAAAGCCCATTGACTCAGAGTACAAAGCGAGAGTGTCGTTTGCTAACGCGAGTTTGTCTGATGTCTCCATACACGTAGGACCAAGAACTCTTGGATTATCATGTTTATTATGTACTGGGAACCATCCATTGGACCAATGTGAAAGGTTTAGAGATAAGGATGTTAGTGAAAGAATAGAATTTGTATTAAGGAAGAAGTTATGTAATGTCTGTCCGAAGGCGAACCATATAGCAAGAAACTGTCGAGCACCAAGATCATGTACCGTCAAAGGATGTGGTTGGAGACACCATACCTTGTTACATAGGAAGCAGGGAGAACAGAGAGATAGCGATAGTGATGCTTGCATTAATACTCATTTCTGTACGGAGGGAAGTGTTAAGCGTATGCAGAGACCAGTAGCATTTGCAGTAGTGCCTGTATGGATAAAAAATGGTGAGAAGATTATTCAGACTTGCGCCTTTTTAGATAGCGGATCAGATACCTCTCTCATTGTTGATGATCTGGCTGATGAGTTAGGCCTCAAGTGAAAACCGAAAATGGTGTCTTTAAAGACTTAGTAATGAATCGTCATTGATATCCAAAGAGGTCGATGTAGAGTTGCACTCGATAGATTTTTCATCATCTGTTAAGGTGCTGAAAGTGTTGACTATTAAAAGACTACCGGCGGTTTACAGGACTGTGCCAACGGTGCATCAAATGGTATCTTGGTCTCATTTAAAAGACACAAGTTTTCCGAGAGTAGAAGACGAGAATGTTAAACTGTTGATTGGATGTAACGCACCGGGCGTACACGAGATAAAAGAGAAGAGAATGGGAAAATCTAATGAACCATACGCTATAAAAACTGCTTTAGGGTGGACGTTGTTTGGACCTTACAGTGAGACCACGAGCAATGTGAGTACCATAAATCATTTATCGTCCAAAGATGAACCAGAAACCTGTAAAGTGAAAGTACATTTGTCTGGTGCGATCTCATCGCCAAGTTGCGCAACGTTTGCTCTACAAAGAACTATCCTAGGTAAAGAGGCTAGATTTCCTGAATGCATTATACAGACCGCGAAGGAAAAGTTCTACGTTGATGATTTATTAACCAGTGTTGATACGTTAGAAGATCCTAAGTTAGTATATTCTCGGCTGAAGGAAATGTTACGTTTAGGGAGTTTTAATCTAACCACGTGGGCCAGCAACAATGTTGAATTAATAAAGTTTATTTCAGAGGGAGTCCATATAGACAGGAACGTAGATATTTGTTTATCTGTGGAAGAAAATGAAAGGATTCTAGGAAAAGAGTGGAATGTTCGAACGGACAATATCTTCAGGATGTACAAGTTGGATGTGACTCCTGCAAGGAAAACCATTTTGTCGTATGTAGCATCTATATTCGACCCAGATGGGTTTATAGCTCCAATTGTTTTACCAGCTAAATTAATTTCGCAAGATGCTTGCCGGCTAAATCTTTCATGCGGCGAACTTCCTAGAGAGTGCTCTGTAAGATGGAACTGTATGCTCAGAGGTATGAAGCGCTTAAGTAAACTGTTGCTTCCAAGATGTCTCGTACTAGGATTATACAAACCATTACCTACTCAGATTTATCGCTTTGTCGACGCCACAGAATTCGCATATAGTGTTGTGGCGTATGCTCGTTTTAAAGATGTCTCGTGTCAAGTTCATCGTTCCTTTTTATTAGCCAAGTTCAGGTTTGCTAAGCCAAAAATAAAAGCACCATGTGATCATAATCCCAAAACAACTCTAAAAAAGCCTAAGAAAAGGAAGGTCACCAAGCCGAAAGTGAAGACACCGAAAAAGCCAAAGGTCACTTTAACAAAGAAGTCAGTAAATAAGACCGTGAAGAAGCAGACAGCACATATTTCCCGTGGTATTGTACATGGTGTTGGGAAAGACGCCGTTGTGCGAGTTGTGAATAAGAGTAAGGATGGTTCTGATAAATTTAAAAAAGCCAATGCTAATCGTAGACA